CAAAAGAGTGAGTTTAATGATGGGTAGGGGAAATGTTTTTGGCAAGCCTGTGGTGCTCCTCAGACCTTGTTAATCTGCATGGACTATGGCTTATGCATTTGCATTCACCCTATAAAATACTTATTAAATATCTACACTGTACCAGGTTCTGTCTTAGCTGGGGATACCTTGATGAGAGATACATCTGGGAATACTTTCTTCTCTTATCAGGAAACAATCATATAATCAGAAAATACTGATTACGGTAGAGAAATGCACAGAATGCATTGTAAGCACAAGTAAACTCATTAACTCACACACTGGAAGAATGGGGCTAGTAAAGGAGGACTTGAAGCAGTATCTTAAGAGTATCTTTAGCAATTGAAGAACTGACCATACAGCCAAGACAAGTTGCAGGATATTACTTTGGCTCCTATTAGGCTTCCTACTTTCCTCGTTTATGGCTTCAGCCAATAATAGCTACTATTTTGAGCATTTTACACGTATTAACTCATTGAATCCTCACAATAACCCTGTGAGGTATGTACCATTATCCACCCTCCATTACACGTGAGGAAATGAAAAGTAAGTTCCCCAGGTTACACAGCTTCTCATTGGCTGACCTTGATTCAAGTCTTGGGGGTCTTTTTCCTGACCTATTGCTAAACCACAGTGCCTCTCCATAGATTGTAACTACTATATTCTTCTGCTTTTCAATAGAATATAGAGAAAGATGCAACAAAGAAACAAAGTAAACCATAGAAGCTAAGAGCTGTGAAACATTTGCTATGAATCCAGTGTTTTTATTATTATTGGCTTAATTTGCAAGTATTTAGCAGAAACATCTTGGGCATAATCTCGGTAGAATGCACAGATCAGATCTATCATTTCAATCAAGTAAAAAGGTTCACCTATAAACCATTTTATTTCTGAAAAGAAACAAGAGTGGTTTTGCTTTGGTTTGGAGTTTTGTTATTGTGTGTAGGTGGATGCCAATAACATTTTTTTCCAAAACCTTCTATCCTTTGCCGTGAAGCCTCTTCTGATTAAGTTGTGTATGTGTTTTGTTTTGTTTCCTTATCCTTATATACTCCTTTTTATACTTTCTTGTTCAGGATTCTGTAGATTCCAAGTAAAAGAAACCCGGTTCAGAATAGTTAAGCTAAAGAAGGTGGTTGTTGGAAGAGTACCAGGGCCACTAACTGGATCAGTAGAAGAGCTGCTAAACAGGGACAATTCCTAGGACACTGAGGAGTGAAATTGAAGACTCAGTTCCCATAGGATCCTCTCCCCACCTCTACCTGTAATCTTCTCTTTTTCTGTGTTGACTTCATTCCTACCACTGATGGCTTCACGTGCTAGTGGGTAGCTCCAGGTTTATGTTACCCCAGTTTAATAATCTCAAAGAAAGAAAACACTTCTTTCTCCCTTCTTCCCTATATCTAAATCCCAAGAGAGGAGTCTGCCCAGCTTAGATCATATCTATGTCCTTTGGACCAATCATTCTGGCCAGGGAGGTGAGATTAAATGACCACTCCTGGGTGGGGGTGGGAGGAGCTCTGAGTTTGGCAGACCCATCAAAACCACTACAAGCATACTTTGGAGATATATATTGCCGGTTAGGTTCCAGACCACTGCAATAAAGCGAGTATCACAGTAAAGTGAGTCACACAAATCTTTTGGTTTCCTAGTGCTTATAAAAGTTATATTTACACTATACTGTAGTCTTTTAGGAGCCCTGGTGGTGCAGTGGTTAAGAGCTCGGCTGCTAACCAAAAGGTCAGCAGTTGAAATCCATCAGCCTTTCCTTGAAAACCCTATGGGGCAGTAGTGTTCTGTCCTGTAGGGTCGCTATGAGTCAGAACCGACTAGACGGTAACAGATTTGTTTTTTGTTTTTTGTTTTTGTTTTTTTTTGTAGTCTATTAAGTGTGCAGTAGCATTATCTAAAAACACAATGTATATACCTTAATTAAAAAATACTTTATTGCTAAAAAATGCTAACCATCATCTGAGCCTTCAGCAAATTATAATCTTTTTGCTGGTGGAGGGTCTTGCCTGGGTGTTTGATGGCTGCTGACTGATCAGGGTGGTGGTTGCTGGAGGTCGGGGTGGCTGGCAGTTTCTTAAAATAAGACAGCAATTAAGTTTATTGCATTGATTGACTCTTCCTTTCATGAAAGATTTCTCTGTAGCATGTGGTGCTGTTTAATAGCATTTTGCCCACAGTAGAACTTTCAAAATTGTAGCCCATCCTCTCAAACCCTGCCACTGCTTTATCAACTAAGTTGATGTAGTGTGCTAAATCCTTTGTTGTCATTTCAACAATGTTCACAGCATCTTCACCAGGAGTAGATTCCATCTCAAGAAACCACTTTCTTTGCTCGTCCATAAGAAACAACTTCGCATCTGCTAAAGCTTTATCATGAGATTGCAGCAATTGAGTCACATCTTTAGGCTCCACTTCTAATTCTAGTTCTCATGCTCTTTCCACCACATCTGCAGTTACTTCTTCCACTGAAGTCTTGAACCCCTCAAAGTCATCCATGAGGGTTGGAATCACCTTCTTCCAAACTCCTGTTAATGCTGATATTTTGACCTCCTCCCATGAATCATGAATGTTCTTAATGGCATCTAGAATGGTGAATCCTTTCCAGAAGGTTTTCAATTTACTTTGCCCAGATCCATCAGAGGAGTCACTATCTATGGCAGCTTTAGCCTTATGAAATGTATTTCTTAAATAAGACTTGAAAGTTGAAATTATTCCTTGATCCATGGGCTGCAGAATGCATGTTGTGTTTGCAGGTATGAAAACATTAGTTTCCTTTTACAACTCCTTCAGAGCTCTTGGGTGACCAGGTGCATTGTCAGTGAGCAGTGATATTTTGAAAGGAATCTTTTTTTCTGAGCAGTAGGTCTCGACAGTGGGCTTAAAATATTCAGTAAACCATGTTGTAAACAGATACACTGCCATCCAGGTTTTGGTGTTCCATTTATAGAGCACAGGCAGAGTAGATTTAGCATAATTCTTGAGGGCTCTAGGATTTTTGGAATGGTAAGTGAGCATTGGCTTCAATTTAAAGTCACCAGCTGCATTAGCCCCTAACAAGAAAATCAGCCTGTACTTTGAAGCTTTGAAGCCAGGCAGTGACTTCTCCTCTCTAGCTATGAAAGTCCGAGATAGCATCTTCTTCCAGTATAAGGCGTTTTCTGTCTACATTGAAAATCTGTTGTTTAGTGTAGCTACTTTCATCAATTGTCTTAGCTAGATCTTCTGGATAACTTACTACAGCTTCTACGTCAGCACTTGTTGCTTCACCTTGCACTTTTATATTATGGAGACAGCTTCTTTCTTTCTAAACCTCATGAACCAACCTCTGCTAGCTTCACACTTTTCCTCTGTAGTGTCCTCATCTCTCTCAGCCTTCATAGAATTGAAGAAGGTTAGGGCCTTACCCTGGATTAGGCTTTGGCTTAAGGGAATGTTGTGGCTGGTTTGATCTTCTATCAGGACCACTAAAACTTTCTCCGTATCAGCAATAAGGCCGTTTAGTTTTCTTATCATTCGTGTGTTCACTGAAGTAGCACTTTTAATTTCCTTCAAGAACCTTTGCTTTGCATTCACAACTTGGCTGTTGGGCTCAAGAGGCCTAGCTTTCAGCCTGTCTCGGCTTTCAACATGCCTTCCTCACTAAGCTTGATCATTTCTAGCTTTTGATTTAAAGTGATAAATGTTTGACTCTTCCTTTCACTTGAACACTTAGAGGCCATTGTAGGGTTGTTAATTGGCCTAATTTCAATATTGCAGAGTCTGGGGAAGAGGGAGGCCCAAGGAGGGGGAGAGAGAAGGGGGAACTGCTGGTCGATGGAGCAGTCAGAACACACACAACGTCTACTGATTAAATTTGCTGTCTTATATGGACTCAGTTTATGGCACCCCAAAACAATTACAGTAGTTACATCAAAGATTATTGATCACAGATCACCATAACAGATATAATAATAATGAAAAAGTCTGAAATATTGCAAGAAATACCAAAATGTGACAGAGAGACACGAAGTAAAAACATGCTGTTGGAAAAATGGTGCAGCTAGACTTGCTCGATGCAGGGTTGCCACAAACCTTCAATTTGTTAAAAAAAAAAAAAAAAAAAATGTAGTATCTGTGAGTGCAGTGAAGCGAAACACAGTAAAAGGAGGTATGCCTGTGTTCTTATTTAGTGGATGGGGAGAGAGGGAGATCAGTTTCCCAAAGAAAGGAAGGATTCTCAACAGGTAATTTATAAGTGTCTGCTAAGGTGCTTATCAGTAGTTTACATTTTGGCACTTTTTTCTACTTGGAGATTCTAAACTCTTTGAAGGCAAAGACTGTAAACTTGGTAGTTAAGACAGCCTTAGATTGGAACCCTTTGAATCCTTTATTGGTGCTTAGCGCAGAGCTAGACACTCAGTAAGTAATTGTTCAATTTATTTCAGTTCCTGTTCGGAATACTTTTATTATTTTCACTCATTCTAGTCATGACCTTAGGCAGACATAATCTTTTCCATTTTTAGTATTGAACTAAATTATTTAATAATCCTTTTGTGTTTAGTTCAAGTAACTTAGTTAAACTATATATGTCAAAAACATGACTGAACAAAATTCCTCTTTAAATGCTCTAACAAACTAACTTGTTCTCTGATACTTCTAATGGATTGCTTTTTCATTGAAAATGAAGTACCAAATCAAAGAGTTAATTTGTTAAACATATATGTTCCTTAGAAATGAATTGATAAGAAGTAGAATATTTTGACATGTGTTTGTCCTCAGTGGATATATGGCTAAAATTTATTGTACTCAAGTTTTGTTTTTTTATCATCCGGATATTTTAAATTTTTTACATCTTTTTAATTTAGTTTAATTTGCTTTAAGATTTTTATACAAAAAGATTTTTTAGTTTTTTAATGCAAATGCCACATTAGTACATATGACAAAAACATTTAAATCATTTGTGTACACACTTATTTTTATTTTCTCCTTAGGAACTGAGAGAAAGCTACAATACACAGCAGTTAGCCCTTGAACAACTTCATAAGATCAAATGTGACAAATTAAAGGAAATGGAAAGAAAAAGATCAGAGATGATACAGAAAAAAAAACTAGACGATGATGCTGCAAGGTAATATAGCTGATAAATTTATTATTCTATATTGTTATTAGAATTCTGATTCTATTGCGCGTATCTTTAGTTTGGGGGCAGTGGTGGTTCAGTGGTAGAATTCTCGCCTTCCTTACAGGAGACTGGGGTTGGATTCTCAGCCAGTGTACCTGATGTGTAGCCACCACCCATCTGACAGTGGAGGCTTGCATGTTGCTGTGATGCTGAACAGGTTTCAGTGGAGCTTCCAGACTAAAACGGTCTAGGAGGAAAGGCCTCATGATCTACTTCCAAAAATCAGGCAGTGAAAATCCTGTTAATCACAGTGGTCTGATCCATAACTGATCATGGGGTTGGTGCAGGACCTAGTAGCATTCCATTACATTGTGTATGGAGTCACCATGAGTCAGAGGCTAATTCCATGGAAGCTAACAAAAGTCTTTAGTTTGACTATGAAAATTTAGGGGGAATAAAGGATTTTCCTAAGACACTAATTTGATTCTGAGTTTAAAAGTTCAATCCTTCTTCTAGGGACTGAGTTTACAGTACCCAATTGTATGTTCCATTAGTGGAAAAATAAGGATTTTAAAGTCAGACCTGGATTAGAATTCTTGATTTACCTCTTTTTACCTGCGTGACCTTGATTAAGTCCCTTTACCTCTCTGAGCCTCAGTTTCCCCATCTGAAAAATAGAGAGTGTTAATGCCTACCTCATATGTAACTGTGAGAATTAAATAAAATAAAATAGATAAAAAGTCAGGTACAGTGTCTTGCACATAGTAAGCTCTCATTTCCATGTCCCCACAGTAAATCTATTACTGTTTCCTGAAAGATTATAAAAACCAAAGACTGAGTGTAGAATGCCACGCTAATGTAATTCTTTTTGTACCACTTAAACATATATCAGTTGCCTCTGTTTATAGCAGAGAAACATAAGACAGTTATGGTATCTAAATCCTAGAACTATTTTGTGACTTTGCATGACATTTTTCTGTCAGTAAGATCCTTTTTCTACTATATTCCTGTTTCTATTTCTCTAGTGTCAGAAATTAATACAGTCAGTTAACGATGTTAGTGAACCAACATTCCTTTGCCCTAGAGAAGACTAGATGAGTACTTGTCCATGAAAGAGCTAATAGTTCCTGGGGAGGCAAGAAAGAGACATTACTGCAACCCAAACCCACCGCCATCAAGTCAATTCTGACTCATAGCGACCCTATAGTAGACCCTATATGAGTAGAAGTGCCCCATAGGGTTTCCAAGGCTGTAAATCTTTATGGAAGTAGACTGCCACATCTTCCGCGGAGCGGCTGATGGGTTCGAACCGCTGACCTTTTGGTTAGCAGCCAAGCACTTTAACCACTGCGCCACCAAGGCTTCTCATTATAAAGCGGGCCTCTATTCCTAGTAGTTTCAAAATAGCCACTTCCGACACAGTTTTTATTGCCTGGCTGCTATTGGCTGTGATGAAGATACACTCTGGATTACTCCTTGCTCCTAGAGTCTTCAAAATTCTAGTAGGGGATTCAGGCAGTTAAGCCAATACTTGTATACTGTTTACTCCAAGATTCTTACTTTTGTGGCCCTCAACCAGAGATAATAGAATAATACAGAAATAGAGACAGTGAAGTTTTAACTAAGTAAACTTTTATTAGCTACTTACCTTGTGCCACTTAACACCGCTCAAGGGAATGCAGTGCTATGTAAAATAACCCAACTCACCAACTGTAGTTTTTCTTAATGAACTCTTCAAATTTTATTTTCTATGGACACGTGCAAGTATCTTGATACCTCTTCATCACTGCCCACAGTTCCTTTCAGACTAAGAGAGCTTATTAATAATACACATTTTCATTTTACTCATTGTCCTCACATATAGTAGAGAGAAGAAATCAAAGAGAACAGAGCACATGTAGGACCTGATCATTACAGAGCTGGGTCTTCGTACTACCTCTTGGTTTGCTTGACCATTTGCCCAGATGTGTTCCCTTCACGTCGTAAGGTTTTTGTTTTGTGTTGTTTTTGTCCTAAGCTATAGGTAGTAGTCAGGTTTTCACATTGTAGATGTGACCTCTCTGCCCAGCTTCTGAGATATCTGCTGGCCCTCAACCAGTTTCTCATCCACTAACTCTTCCATAAGAATCTTTACCAAAACCCGATTTTATATCCTGTTTAACCTTCTAGTCTTTATCCTGGTAAATATGTGGTGTAACTACTCTGATAAGGTGGTGTCTGTAGTGCTGTGGGATTCAAACGAAGACTAGATTGGGTCATCCTAGGCTTGGAAGGGTGTCAGGGAAACTTCCTGAGAGGAGGTTACCTGAGAAAAGAAATAAAAGTTGAAATTAAGAAAGGGCTACAAGACCCAAAGAAAGGGCTCAAAATACATAAAACAAACTCTTAACAGCACTGAAAAGAGAGATGGACAGCTCCACAATAGTAGTAGGAGACTTCAGCACACCACTTTTGGTGAAGGACAGAACATCCAGAAAGAAGCTCAGCAAAGATACAGAAGAGCTAAATGCTAGTCAGCCAACTTGATGTCATAGACAGATATACATCGAACACTCCACCCAACAGCAGCCAAATATACTTCCTTTTCCAACGCACATGGAACATTTTCCAGAATAGACCGCATTTTAGGCTGTAAAGCAAGCCCTAACAAAATCCAAAGCATCGAAATACTACAAAGTGTCTTTTCCGACCAGAAAGCCATAAAAGTAGAAATCAACAACAGAAAAAGCAAGGGAAAAAAATCAAACACATGGAAACTGAACAACACCTTGATCAAAAACTACTGGGTTATAGAAGAAATTAAGGATGGAATAAAGAAATTCTTAGAATCAAACGAGAATGAAAACACATCCTACCAGAACCTTTGGGACACAGCAAAAGCAGTGCTCAGAGGTCAGTTTATAGCATT